GACAGATCAAGGGCTTTATGTTTAGAGTTATCATGCCTAACAGCTTATGTTTGTAATTGATTAGGGGCTTATGTAGTATGGTATAAAGATGTAGAGTTATGGTTTAAACAGTACAATTTGGGAATCTGATTTCGGAATTTGAAACATTGGGTCATAAAATTAGGATTAAGGTTCTAGAATATATTCAAAGTTGTGTTCCTGATTCAAAGAATTGGGATAAATGAATTAGGCTAGTTTTAGAGTATATGGTATTAGGATTTGTTAAGAAAATCCTAATATTTTTAATTGATTGTGGGTACCAGGGAATTTTCAGGGTGTTAATAGACATTCTGGATGGTAAGGGGCTTTGCAGGTAGATGGGGTTCAGTGTTTCAGAAGATTGTCATTGTGTTGTAAAGCTGCTCAGTGTGTTAAGGAGTTGTTGATGAACAATTAATGCTTAGTGAGTTAAGTGCCAAAAGTTATTAGGTTTTGAAATGCTTTTATGTTTATTAGCCTACAATGTTTTTATATTTTTAGATATTTATAACATATCTTGAATATTTTATGGATACGATCATTAATTTATGATTAGAGGAATTTTTATTTCTTTTTGGAAGCCTCTTCCTTAAAAAAATCTCATTCTGATTGTGGTAGTTAGAAATTCAGTCAATTTTTAATATCATTGGTGAAAGTGGATATTTATGTTCTTTTTTTAAGGTGGGGTGATGTTTTTCTCTGTCTTCTGAGTCTGACATTTTGACTTTATTTTTTAAGAATGTATATTAGCATATTAACATATTGAACTATATCTGTTTTATGTTAGATTTATGGAGTTTTTTTTTCTTAAAATGAAAAGCCTTTGACTTTGTTTAGTGTGTTTTATGTGTCTATTTAGATAATTCTTTTTTTTACGTTAATTGCTATATTACAGTGCTTTTTAAAAAATCATTTTATTGGGGGCTCATACAACTCTTATAACAATCCATACCTACATCAGTTATGTCAAGCACATCTGTACATTCGTTGTCCTCATTATTCTCAAAACATTTGCTCTCCACCCAAACCCCTGGCATCAGCTCCTCATTTTTCCTCCTCCTTCCCCCCTCCCTCCACCCCCATGAACCCTTGATAATGTATAAATTATTATCTTGTCATATCTTAACACTGTCTGATGTCTCCCTTCACCTACTTTTCTGTTGTCCATTCCCAAGGGAGGAGGTTATATGTAGATCCTTTTTACCCCACCACCTTCCACCCTCCTGGTATCACCACTCTTGGCTCTGGTCTTAAAGGGATCATCTGTCCTGGATTCCCTGTGTTTCCAGTTCCTGTCTGTACCAGTGTACATCCTCTGGGCTAGCCAGATTTGTAAGGTAGAATTAGGATCATTATAGTGGGGCGGGGAGGAAGCATTTAGGAACTAGAGGAAAGTTGTATGTTTAGGAACTAGAGGAAAGTTGTATGTTTCATCATTGCTACACTGCACCCTGACTGGCTTGTCTCCTCCCGGTGACCCTTCTGTAAATAGCCTACAGATGGGTCTTGGGTTCCCAAACTGCACTCCCCCTCATTCACAATGATTTGATGTTTTGTTATTTGATGTCTGATACCTGATCCATTTGACACCTCCTGATCACACAGGCTGGTGTGCTTCTTCCTTGTGGGCTTTGTTGCTTCTGAGCTAGATGGCCGCTTGTTTACCTTCAAGCCTTTAAGACCCCAGACACTCTATCTTTTGATAGCCAGGCACCATCAGCTTTCTTCACCACATTTGCTTATGCACCCATTTGTCTTGAGCAATCGTATCAGGGAGGTGAGCACACAATGATATGATTTTTTGTTCTTTGATGCCTGATAATTGATCCTTTCGGCACCTCATGATCACACAGGCTGGTGTGCTTCTTCCATGTGGGCTTTGTTGCTTCTGAGCTAGATGGCTGCTTGTTTACCTTCAAGTTTTAAGACCCTAGATCCTATAGCTTTTGATAGCCAGGCTCCATCAGCTTTCTTCACCACATTTGCTTATGCACCTGCTTTGTCTTCAGCGATTGTGTTGGGAAGGTGAGCATCATGGAATGCCAGCTTAATAGAACAAAGTATTCTTGCATTGAGGGAGTACTTGAGTGGAGGCCCAATGTCCATCTGCTACCTTAATACTAAGCCTAGAAATATATACACATAGACCTTTTTCCCCATCATATATAAGTATATTTACAAAGAAGTTTTTCATGTAGATCCACTATCAGTTTTCTTGAAGTATCATTATCTGACCTTAGTATCAGGTTAGTACTGGTCTCATAGAAAATGTTAGTAAGTGTACTCTCACAACCATGGTTATGTTTGCACTCAGTAACTTGCACTTAAACAACAAACATAAAGTGTTTGTTCATTCTGTGTGAATACTCTGGTGTCTAGCCATCAGAATCTTCAACTTTAATCAGTCTTCAGTTAGCCTTGAACTTTCTCATGGAATTTAATTTTGATTCAGTTGATTATAGACCTTCTGAGGATCCTAAAACCCACTCAACTCTCAATAGATCACTAGCTCTGGCTGGATCCTCTGGACTTGCAGCTGATCCCTTATGGTAGAAGGATAAATGATTTACACTTCTCTTGACAAATAGTCACTCACATTTGAGCCCAAGTTTGGGAAATACTCTGCAATAAGACATTCTGGCTTAGAGGATTTCCTTCATGTCACCTCCAGGAGAATGGTGTAAATCAGTGAGGGACAGAAATTCCTCAGTGATTTTGTAATCGCTTTGTTTTATTTATATATCTATATATATACATATATACACAGAGGATGCCCATTGCTTCTTTTTAATAAGAGAGCTTATGTTCCAGCAGCAAATGTCACATGAAAGGTTTGGCATCTGTTACCATGGAAATAACTTTTGTAAACATAACTAACACACTAGTATTTTGTGCATGTCTTGGGTATTGATTAGTGATTCCTGAGGTGGTGGTGGTTGTTAAGTGGCATTGAGTTGATTCCACATCATAGGGACCCAGTGCACAACAGAAGGAAACACTACCTTCTCCTCTGCCAGACTGACGATTTAGGATGGACCTATTGCTGCCCTCACTGTGTCAATCCATTTAGTTGTGGGATTCCTGTTTTTCACCGCCCCTCTACTTTACCACACATACTCTCCTCTCCCTTCTGACACCAGTGTCCAAAGTACTTAATATGAACTCTCACTATCTTTACCTCTAAGTCGCACTCTGAGTTTACTTCTTCGAAGACAGACTTGTTTGTGCTTTGGAATACTAATACTATTTCAGTAATCTTGGCCAGCACTACAATTCAAACGAATCGATTCTTCTTCATTCTTCCATATTTATCATACATGTGATGTGAGGCAATTGACGATAACGTGGTTTGGGTGAGGTTCTCAGTCCTCAAAGTAAGATCTGTTCTCTTCAACACGCTAAACAAGCTTACTAAGGCTTATTTTTCCAATACAATGTATCTATTGATCTCTTGACTGGTGATAGAATGACTATCACCACTCTGGGTTTTTTTGTGTGTATTTTTTGCATAAGCTAACAGTTTTCTGGAAGGAGTTAGAACTTAGTCAAGCTTAGATTCAGAATGTTGCTTGAGGAGGGGCTGGAAGCTAACCTTACTCTGCAACCAACCAATGTAAGAGCCCTGAGTTGAAGCCTGTCCTTAGGCCTGGTGGAATGGTGAGCCTTATATTCAAGGTATGCTTGATGACTCGGCAAGAGAGAATCTTAAAACAAATTGTGCTTTTGTTTAGTATCTTGACTTGCTGATTAGTTTTAGAGGAGCACTAACCTACACCCCTTTTTCTGTAACTACAAGGCCTTCAGAAACGCCTTGGGGGCAGCAAAAGGGAGGTGCCAATGATATCCAAATAGTCACTCAGTCTAATGCTTCCCTGGCTTATCACAGCATTGCCTCTTCCCACCACATTCATTTTGTTTTCCTGCCAAAGTAGGTTCCTGGTGGAGCATGTTTCACAAGCTCAAGCCTAGTAGGCATTAGCTTTTCACCTTCTCCCTAGAAGACCAAGAGTATGGATGGGACATCCTAGAACCCAAGCCAATAAGCCCTCTCCTATAGTTTGTGTTGTTTTCCATCTGTCAGCAAAGTTGGAATGCAGAATCTAGGCCAAGATGACAAAATGGTTGATAAGTCATCTCTTTCCTGGATCCATCTTGTACTTGTGGTGTTAAGCTTCTGCCCTCTCCTTGGCTCTTGGCATCACCCATCTACCTGCCCCTTGCCATTCCTTGACTAGAGACTGCAGTCTTTCACAGAGGCTTTAAAATTGGACAACTGTAAACAGAAGAGCTTAAGAGAGTAGCAAATATGGATTCCCCTGGTTGTTTTCTTGTTTAGGATAGCTCTGTCTTGGCCAAGGCACATCTCGGATGTCCTCTTGGTGTCCCTCTGTCTAGTGTTGTCCACCTCTAAAAGAAGTTTCTCTAGTTACAACACACTGCTGTGCATAAATGGGCTACCCAACCATAGGCATTTCTTCACACACAATAAATATTGTAAAGAATACCTGGGATACAAGGGGATTGGAGCAGGTTATACTTCATGCAAGCGCAGCATGGGTTGGAGTGACATGATTCAGCTTGATCACATTAGCCAAATATGTCAAGGGTTATGGTCTGAGATGCATTATGGGCTGGTGGAGAATGTTCTTCCTAAAATCTTCCTTTCTTCAATTAGATTTCTGGTGAAAAGAAAATATTTACCTTCAATGGAGTTTGAGAATTTTGAGGCCTTAACGACTTCCACTTTATTCTAAAAATAAATATTGTCTATATAGGATGTAGATCCAAAGTTGATAATGATATTTGAGAAATTAGTAAAATTGCTCTGTAAAGGTAAAGTGGGCTCCGTGTTTTATGCAGACACCCTCAGATTAGAGCATGCTTTTGATCCCAGGGGGTGGGGGCGGTCACTATTTAGCGCAAGAAATATAGGCCAAGAACCTGAAATGCCTTTCTCAACATTGACTCCTCTTTTGTTTCAGAACAAAGATTTGCCACAGAGAAATACAGTCCTGTCTAGGGAGCTAGAAATCTGTTACTACGGTCTTGCACATTGAAGCATCACAAGGCAGGATTTCAGCTTCTCACACTGGGTTGTGAACCAACTCCATTCATCTGACTCCAAGCAGGGTGAGCAACCCTGGGGTTCCTGGAGGCAGGGCGAGGTGGAGGGGCTTGCGGGGAAGCAGGAGGGATCCGTATTACTTGGGGTCTGAGCCCAGGAGGGCACCAGTGTACAAGGGTCCAGGCCGTCCTGCCTGTCAGGGTCCGAGGTCTTTGCGCACATCTCCATGAATGATAGAATTCACTAGTTAAGTAACCGTTTATAATTGTTTTAGAACTTAAGTACTGAGCTGTCCAATTTGCAAAAGGATGTTGGCATAGTGGTTATAGATTGAGCTGCTAACTGCAGGGTCAGCAGTTCAGAATTACAAGTCACACCTGGAGAGAAAGACAGGGTTTCTACTCTTGTAAAGAGCTACAGTCTCGAGATACCAACAAAGGGCAGTTCCACCTTCTCCTAACGGGTCCCTATAATCAGAATCATTTGATGGCAGTGATTTGGGTTTTAGGTTGGGGCTGCTGAGGACAGTGACAACTCAGTGTCCATTTGCTGCCTCCCCACTTTGATTAAGCCTCCATTGAAATCTTTCTGATTGTTAATCAAGAATGCAGATCATCTTCCCCTTGGGAAGAATGCCTTAGAAGTAGATTGCCTTTCCAGCCAGCCCCTCTCCACGGCCTGCCTAGGTGTATCCTTGATGGAGGTCACCTTACTGAGGACAGAACAGGGGCCATTGTCACGAGTCTGACCTTGACTGCCCTGTGTGAAGGCGCTGGACCAATCTTGTAAGTCCTTATGTCTAATAGTGTGCATATCCTAAACATGGTCCCATTCCTGCTGCTGCAGTGATGTATTGATCTACCACCATTCATGATCTGTGATGTGCCTTTTGTTTTGTGCCCTTTTATCCAGAGTCCTGACTGAATCCTCAGTTGTCATTTTGACCTTCTGCTAATTGCCTCCCTTATCCATATGATGTGTGTGTGTCTTTTGTTGTCTCCTAAAGTTTAATAAGTAGGCTCCTTTAATTACTATATTTGACATAGGGGTCACTTTTGTGCCCTAACCCTCAATTTAGGATCATAAATGACTCAAGATACGGTTCTTCTTTGGGACAGCATCTTGACAGCCATACCTGCAGGTAAGGTCAGGGCCTGCAGCCCCCTAGATTCTGTCTTATGGGAAAATGTTACAAAGGTCTTTTAGTCCTGCGGATAAATGCTCACTCCACCCCTTAGCATCAAACCAAACACTTAGCTCTGTGTAGGTTAGTAAATCTAGTTCCCCAGATAAGTACTTAGATGTACACCACTTCACCTACTAACCTCCTGCCCAGAGACACTCAGGTGTCTTGCTCTGTGGCCTGGGAATCCCACTGCTCTGTGTCGGTCTCTTGGTTCTGCTGCCACCATGTCTCTGTTGCTGCTCCTCCCCAGCGCTTTCTCTCTTGTGTCACAGCTCTGTCTTCTGGGTTGAAGAGTTTCAATGTAAGAATGTAGGATCCAAAGGCCCCTACTCCTGGCTCTTCCTTTTTGATGATAGTGAGATCCCAATTTCTGTTTCTAAAATAGCTCAATTAAACTTAACATGATATCCAATCCGACTAATCTCCAGGATAAGTTTTCAGACCGCTTATTTGTGCAGTCAGAAGCCTCAAGGGTACCTATCTGTTGTTGGGCAAGGTGCCCAATCCTCTTAAACCAAAAACCCCAAACTCACTGCCATCAAGTTAACACTGACTCATAGTGAGCCTATATGATAGGCTAGAACTACACCTGTGGGTTTCCAGGACTGTAACTCTTTAGAGGAGTAGAAAGCCATGTCACTCGTGGGAGAAGAAAGTACCATCTTTGTTTCAAGGAGGAGAAATTGGTGGTTTCCAACTGCTGACCTTGCGGTTAGCAGACCAACAGTAACCATTATGCCACCAGGGCTTCTTTGCCTCATTCACATTGGTGGGCGACAAACCCACATAAATATTTGGAAGGAGTTAAGGGGCCATAGCTAGAAAGACTATACATGTATAGGCCAACTGTCTAACTGCATTAGGTACTATAAGTAATGCTACATTAAAAACATTATTTGCTGGGATGAAACAAAAAGGCATGTAACAGAGCAGTAAGGGAAGCAAAGCAATGAACCCCTGGGGAATCCCAAAAATACACTTTGGGGACAGAGTGTGGCACCCCATCAGACTCTACTGGAAAACACTCCTAAAGGTCAAAAAACAGACCTGGAACTATTTATAGGCTTTTCCTTTTGTGTCATTGGCTTTTTGTTGTTATCTTGTTTGTTTTTTTGGGTGGGGGGGGCTTCCTTTGTTGGTTTGTTTGGCTTTGCCTTGTTTTTGCACTTATTTTTGTCTTTGCATGTCTATCTAGATAAAATAAGCAGGATAAACAATTTGGAGGAGAAAACAATGGGACCGATGGTTCTGGGGTCACAGGTGACAGGGAGGTGTGTGAGAAAGGATGGGAGTGTTAGTGGTTGTCAGCCCAGGGACAAGGGAACAACAAGTGAGTGAAAGTCGATGGAGAGAAGGGTGTATGATGCCACGTGGGGCTTAATCAAGGGCAGTGTAACACTGAGAAATTACTGAAACACAAATGAAGATCGAACATGAGAGTGGGACAAGAGGAAAGTAAAAGGAAATAGAGGAAAGACCTAGAAGGCAAAGAACATTTATAGAGTTCTGTATTAGTCTGGGTACAATAGAGAAACAAATCCACAGAAATTCATATGTATAAGAGTGAGTTTTATATAAAGGGTATGTACACATCAAGAAAACATCCCAACCCAGTGCTGCCCAAGCCCACAAGTGCAACATTAACCCATATGTCTGACACCAATCCACACAGTCCTCCTCCATCTCACAGAAGA